ATGATAAATGACAGTCTGGAACTGAGGTTGCAAACCTGTAATCAACTCTTAACAGTGTGGTCCAACCTTTTACCTTGGGGTGTTGAATGGGAGCAATTAACAGGGTGGTTGAAGTTTATGGGTAGGCCACCCATGGGTTAATTTCCTGTTGATAATGTGGTCTTCTGGGCTGGTTTGGAAAAAAAAAGGCCAATTTTCTTTTCCTCAAATTTGACAACTCTGAATACAAACAGGCTAGAAACCAAGATCACTCTATCAATTTATAATCTCAGTATGAATTTGAATTCTCCTTAATAACATCATAACGACCATTTGTCTTGTTGATTTGGTAAACTTGCATGTATGCAGAGTTCTCAGGTACCAGACAAAGTCAGACCAGGGCTGGTCCAGAACCAAATTTTTGGGAGGGGGGGGAATTGTTTCGAAGGAAGCCAAAGATTTTGAAACTTTTGTAATGTAATTTCCGACGGCCTTTCTGAGGGTTAAAGCTATGGTTTTGTTGCTTCTTACACACTACTGGGAAGCTCGGAAAGAAAATATACCCCAAATTGCCTCTCACATTACCCGCCCCCTCCAAATTTTTGAGCCGCCCTTATCCACCCTTGGAATCACGATGGTGATATAAACAATTCCCCTCTACGGTGCTGTTATTAAAACTGTTTAACCTAGTGCTGCCTTAAATTAAGGTTAGTCTTTAAAAAAAAAGAAAGTCAACAGTCTTGTTACAAATCCATCTCAAATCCAATCGGGTCTCTGTAACATTTTTTTATACCAATGCGGTGATATTTTTTTGGAGAGGCGTGTTACGATAAAAATGCCATTCAGGTGATTTTTCAGTTTCAGAGCATAAATGGTAAGCGTTCCTTGGTAGGCAGAGCCATGCATTTTCACATTTAGGCAATGTTCAAATTTGAGCTTTCTGCCCCAAGCTAAGTGCACCCCCAGTTGGCGAAAGAAAGACAGGGTGGTTACAAGCGGGTTCTTGCATGTGTTCTGCATGTACGCAAAGAACATACATGACGGAATAAATTAGTTACGCGTACTCAGTGTGCTCCGCATCAAACACGCATATACTTGTGCACCTCATGGTGCCCCTATGCGGTGAGTATCCAAAAACATGCCCTCTTTTGTTCTGCTCAAAGCGGGTAGGCAGATTTTTTGTGAATGAAGTTAAAAAATGACCAAACCTGCAAAGCTAGACGGGATCCAGAGTCCTCACTCAAAGCTTGGAAGAACTTGAAATTCCAACAGGTAGAAGAGGGACATGAAGCTGTAATTGCTAATGACGTGAAGCTGAACGTCCAAAAGGAAATTCAAGTAAAAGCTTCCTTTCCAGAAGCTGGCGTTCAAATCACCCCCATCAGCTCCCTCCTCATGCGTAGGGTTTCTCCAATGAGAACTCCCAATTAGTGAACCACACACACTGCGACACCTCCAGCAGAAAAAGATGCTTATACCAATGCCGACGGCCCAGCTCTGTCTAAACCCATTTACCAGCTACCTCCATTTGTACCCACTTGCTACAAAAATACTCATCTTCAACTTCTCTCCCCCCCCCTTTCCTCTGGGCTACACCCCAAGAGGGACATCGCATAGGCTTCCACACTTTGCCGGTCATTAAACTTGTTGTCCTCCATCTAATTACTCTTGTTTACACCCAGCGCGAAGGGAATTTGACCGGACAGGACGTGGACCTCAAAAGACATGCCGCTCTCCATTCACGGCCCGGGAGTTCGAGTGGGGAGACACAAAGGTAGAGGCAAAGTCTGGCCAGTCGGAGCACAGACCTCGGGAAGCCCCACAACTGGATAACCCCCTCATAAAGCTGGACACCTCCACGATGAAAGGGGGACATTCACTGCGGAATGTTCCTCCGCCACTTGAATAGCGGTGTTACAGTGTAAACAGGTCATCCATCAAGCCGGCCAACAAAACAGTCAATATTAGGGTTCCTATGCAACCCCTGAGTTTAGGACTAGGAGGATCAAAAGGTAAAGTTTAAAATGCCATTAAGCAGCCAAGCTGTAAATGGGCCGTCATTAACCACCAGGATATTTCCTCCCCATAGAAAAACAAGAGAACTCCATTGGGAATGCTCAAGCGCTCTGAATTTTTTTTTCTGGGAAAGACAGTAATCGTACATTAAAACCAATTAAATCTTCGGCCCCTCCACCCCCCCCAAAAAAACAGCCATAACATGTTTGCTTATAATCCAAGATGAAATACCAGACCTTCAAGCTGCTAAACAGCAAGTTTACTCGGGTGTAACTCTGATTTTTGTGTGAGAGCAGAAAAAAATTATGTTTCAAGGGATCACGAGAAAATTTTTTAATGGTTTCCTCAAAATGACAGCATGAATGTGTACATGTATGGTGCAGTTTAGGCATTTTTACCAAAAAAGCATGCCCTTACTTATTTACATTTTCTGCTTCTCAGTGTTGGACACTTTCCTTTCACAAAAAGAAATCAACCTTTACAAAGAATTTCTTTCGATACAGCAACACAAGAACAACACAACCAGGATTATTTCAGTCTTGTTGGACCTTGAAGAATGTTGCTGAGGTTAAAAATCTGCCACACTAACAAGTTGTTACATCACTTGCCAGCACATTCCAACGATTTTGAAGTAAACAGTTCCTGAAAGGTGTACTCACAACTGAAGCCCAAGTGCTGCCTCCCTTGAAAGCCCCTGCCGAAAAATACTTTGTGTCCCCCTGTAGGTGCAACAACTGCCTGGTATTGTGGACACCGGGGTGCCGATAATCTTTTAATTATTGACTGGGGAGCTTGCGAAGAACATACCGCCCAACGTCAACAAGCAAGGGGCCCCTCGGTTCATTGTGCCATGTAATCGTAACTCTGGGGGAGAAACACCCGGAGGCTTGGAACACCTGAAGAGTTCTTTGAAAAACCTCTATAAACTCTTGACGTCTACCACATTGCGTGATGCATCATTCCATTCTCCTGTTCATTATCGCCTTGTAGGCGGGCACATCTCCCGTACATTCTCCAGATTTCTCACTTCCTCTACTCATCTTAAACTTCATTACCAAGCTGAACGCCCCACTGATGACAGAAATGAACCGAGAAAAAAACCCTCTTTACCCTTTTGGTAACTGTTACTCTGAGAAAAATGCAACCTAAATGCACAGTTCAAATGAAAAAAAACTTCATACAACACTGAATTTCTAAATTCTAGCTACTGTTATTTCTCAAGCAGCCTGGTACAATACAAAACAAACTCAATAAGTCATCTGGTGGGCCATTGATCAGAGTTCCGAAAATGTCTCTCTCCAACTATGGTGTTTCTTATCCAGTCTAAATTTACTCTACGGTGATATTAATGACAGAGAGAAAATACCACAACATCTATGAAGCATCACAAGAGCCCCCCTTATAACCTGGAAGTACAGTACACCTACCACAGCACCCAAAAACTTGAACACATGTACATGCACATCCATGACGACACGCAAAAAAACAGAAAGCATCGAAATCTTAACCTCCAGGAATACACAGGCTGACACTGCCAATCATTTTCACCAATTTAACCACAGGACAAGTTGGGATGACCTAACTCAAGACAGGGGTCAACTGGTTCATGGCCTCACCTACAAGACCTTGCGGGTAGAATTACAATTACATGAGCACATGGTATGTGCAATTTCTGAAGAACATTTGATCACTGGTATTTGGTTCTTAGGGGATGACTTCCAGCTAACTGATAAAAAAAAATCTCACTAGGAGAGCTCGTCACACAAACTCCTTCAGAAGCAACCATGACAACAACTTCCTGGACAGCTACCTTACAGTGCAGAATTCACCAGCACATTTCATAAACAAAAACACTGTTGACAAGACACTCTTCCCCCCCAAAAAAGGGGCGGAGGAGCAAACAGCAGCCAACAATTTCACCTCAAAGGGTCACACCACACCAAGACACACAATTACGGGTACTTTACTCTCACGCTTCAAACTGGCAATTTTTCTTTTGTCTGTACTGCTCTATACCGGTGCGTGCACAATTGTAATTACATTATTGCTTGGCAATCGCCATGTAAATCACGGACAGAGACACAAGAAGAAAAAACAAAAGTAATAGAAGGCTCACTTTGAACATAAAAAATGTAAGGTTTTCTGCCTTTCGCGTATCATCCTGGTAGTATCAAATGTCAGTTGATGACAAATGCACAAAAGATGATGTATGGTACATGTACATACATGCAATATCAAGTGCCAACAATACGTTCGTGAACAGCCTCATGTAGCCAGTGCTTTCCAAAAACAAACTGACTCTGCCTCCATACCCAGGATATAAATTCAGCTTTTTAAAAGCCATCAATATTTTTCTTCCCCCAGCCCAACACAAAGTCCATCCCATCCCTCTAATGGCTGCAGAATTCAGTTAATTGACAACAAATCAAGCCCTAATGCCTTATGTCAACACAGAAAAATGCAGGCAGCTTTTGATGAGCACACAACACATGAGACCGACACGTCTGCACAGCTGAAAGTACGGTGCCTAGTGTTGACATTTGTATGGCTTTCAATGCATCATTCATCATGCGCGCATTTCCTACCCTTGTCATGCTAGCCGAGAGATAACATGAAATATTAAAGTCGGGTTTTTCGATCAAGTATTTTACATGTTTGACTCATACTACGTGATGGCAAAAACTTGGTCAATGTAGAGAATGAAGTTTTAGGTTAACCTCCCCAAACGGGCAAATCTCAAGTTTTCCATTTTTTGTATCATGCAATTTCAAGTATTTTATCTGGACTTTTCCACTCACAAGGAATACACTTCCCATGATACATTAGCATGTGCAATGTGCACAAAAGTACGAAATTGGAGTTGATTTCAATTTGGATCAGACAGTCAAATCTTTTCCAAATAAAGATATACCTAAAACCTTGCTACTCCTGTACTGTAGAGAGTTCCGCAGTATATAGTGCATACACAATTAATTTAGTATCTTGCTTTACTTTCGGTATCTTACCTTTTTAGTTTTCCTCTATCACAGTTTGTTTCTACGGCAGCGCAACGAGCAAATTACAACAGTCTTGACAACTTCAACAATCTCCTCTGATTTGGCACGAACACCCCATCATTAGAAATGTTTCATGAAGCTCTGGTTCATGATCAAACATCCTGATAAATGCTGACAAGACACTGCGTCAGTATGCAAGGTCAGCACAATCCTCGGAGTAGAGAAGATAACCCTCTGAATTTGTCCACAGAAAACCTGTCACCCTGACACAGCCTTCGTTGTACAGAGAACCCCGCCACCGCCTCCTGGGCTTCAGATCAGTTTGAGATGAGACGACCGACCGTGGCCAGAGTGGTTAACAGAGCATCACCCGCGTCCCTCACCCGGGCCGGCGCATACATGTACATGTACGTATCGGACGACAAGACTGACATGTACAATTATGCCACTGGCTCTTAAAATTGGCATCAGACATACATATGTATACAAGTTGGGGCTGCACCTGGCTCGTCGTTGTGCGGCTAGCAAATCAGGGCAGGAGACAGTGGCTTTTAATCAAACCAACCACTTTGATCCTGGGCACTCAATCTCTCCTCTCCCCCCCCCCCACACTGGTGCACAGAGGTATAAAACAAACACGCCAGAGCTGCCCGTGGCTGGCTGGCCAGGAACACGAAACCTCCCCTCCAGCCCAAAACAAGAAGATTAAACTGATTTACGTACAGTCAATGAATGGCAGTGATGCACTAATTAAACCGGATAGGTCGATGGAAAGAAAAACAAGGCTCGAGGACCAGCCAATGGCAGTGCTCGTATGCAAATGGGGAGGGGTTCTATGAGAGGTAATATTCAAGACATCTCTCCTGCATATAATCCTATCAATGTACAGATTTATTACATAGGAAGAAGAGCAAAACCAAATCGTATTATGGGTGTGCGAAATATGAGATGACGTCTATGGTTACGGCATCAACATATTTTATTTTATTATCGGGGTTGTTGATTTAATAAGTAAATCTCCAAACACACAAGTGTTAGCCTTATTTTTCTCCCAATACAGTTTTGGAAGGAATCAGGGCGGCATGCCTTTCGGCAGTACATGGATATGCAACACGATATTCCCGAAGATAAGGGTTGAGAGAAAAAAAATTATTTAAAAAAAAAGGAAAAAAAACAGGCCCCACATGAGTGATGGAATTATAAATATTGTGAGGCAGGGTGGAAAACAGCCCCAGTTATGAGGAAATTTTTTCGGGGATGAAGATGACTCATTTTTCGTGAGTGATAATGAAATCATTGTTGGATGTCTAGACAAACTTAATAGGACCTTGAAAGTTACCGCAGAACAAATTAAGCCTCCATTGTGTAAACATTCATCATTTAAATTATTTCAATTTTCCACCGAGTACCCCGGATTACTACCATTCATTTTTATCTCCACCAGTATTCTGATCATCACCACAGTGTTGATAAAAAAAGATGCTGTTTTAGCCAACCAACTTTTCCATCATCCTCTCGATTATCTGGAACTCGACTCACGGCGAGAGACAAGCTGTCTATTAATCTATATGCAAATGGCAATCAGTGCATACACTATCCTCCTTCACCCATCAGCCTTCACTGAATATTTTGGTCACACTAATGGCTCTCTCATTGTCACTATGGGGTAAACCGCAACCGTAAAAGCTGTAATCTTGGAATTACAACAGAGCCAGTCCACGAGACGGGACAATAGATTGAATCTGCGACCGGTATTTTCTCACGCTGATGGAATGTAAGACAGATGAATCTTTTCTTGTCAACTGCCAGTACAGTAAGAGTAACAACAAAGGTTTTACGCACAATGTTCCTGTGCTATACATGTGCAATGTTTTTACTGTTGCCGAAAAATTGAGCAGGCAGGTATTACAAATACCTTTTTTGCCCCATCAAAAGACCCATGGTAATAAACTTCTATTCGTACTCCAACAAAAAAAATTTTACAAGGAAACCTCAGTAAAATGAAATAAAGAAAACAAAGACTTGGGGCTGTCTCTGGATGCTCCAGTAAAAGTCACATTTAGCCCATGTCAATTCTAATAAACTGGTTGGAAACCAACTCCTGTACATTCCAGGGTTTGTTGGACTTTTTTCATTGATCAATGGGAAACATTTGAGAATGACAGTTTGCTGACCTTGGAGTGCAATGGGTGGCTGTACAGATCCAAAATGTTACTCAAATCTCAGTGAAGAACGTAAGACCAATTTATATCTACTGAGTGCAGAGTGTAAGTTATGGGAGTGAACTGAGTCAAGATCTTGGCACCTGTTATTCCAAGACTGTCGAGAGAGCAGTGCAAATTTCCTGGGCTTGAACACTGTACGCACAGAGTCTACGCAACGGTGGTCTTTCAATTCTCAGGGCACTGATAATGAAGCATGCATGGCCAGGTCCTGTAACTCATGAACAAACTTTACCACAGGCCAAAATATGAAAAGGGGGAAGGAGGGGTTGGACTGGACTGTGTATCTATAATGAGAATCCCGCAATTAAGCAGTCAGAAGAGATGGTCAAACTGAATGACCGCTGAGCTGGAAGAAACCATTGAAGCCTATGATTGCATGGAGTCTCTGCTCTGGAAGAGACTGACCCATTAGGACTGACCAGCCTTAATTAACGCTTCCCCTAATAAAGTCGTCATCATGCACTCGTGCATTCAGCAAATTATCGTAAGACGTCTTGTGAGTGTCCTGTAGTGACAGCTGCAGGGACAAGTTGGCACCAAACCAGAGTCGTTCTCCTGTGATACCTTAGTGCGACCACAGCAGACCACAAATGGAGCTTTTTTGTCTCAAGCTACTTTTCAGCCAATGAAACACTGAATATTACAGCTGTCAAAGTGTCTTCTGGAGGTTAACTTGTTTAATTGAACATGGATCTGTGAGATTCTACTTAACCTGTCAGTCCTTTGTCTTTAAGTGTACAAGTCTTTTTAGTCTTAATTTCAAGAATGTTTTTTGACCTCAAGTTTTTTAATATCCAACACAACAAAGTCAGCATTTGCCAACATTCCCACAAGTTCCGTTAAAAACTATATTAATAACCTCAAAGCCCTTTTTACTTGGGACCTTCCTAAATACTCCAAAATCCTCCAATTTAGGGATGAAAAAAATTGGATTCTCCCTCAATCCTTCAAAGTTTCTTGGAGATGTTACTTGGAGGTGTGCCTACCGCCTCAATCCTTAAAAATCCTCTGGCAATCCCTGTCAATACGTTGAGGCAGAGCAAATGGCATTCTTGAGCAATGCAGTTTATTCAAAAGAAATATCCCGCTGAATTTGTGCGTGACTAAGCAAAAACATCACAGGGTCTAACCCAAAGCCCTTCATGCATTGCATCCTTTACAATAAGCCATGTACTTTTGCCATTCCCCCTCAATCCTCCAAAATCCTCAAAACTGCCTGAAAGATTTTTGAGGATTGAGGAGGGTTAGGGTTAAATGTAAGGATTACCAGTACCATCCTGACATTTGTTAACATGTTAAAACTAGGACTACTGACCCTTTCCTGAGCAAATGCCGACATTTTGTGAAATTTTACTCTAAGACAAGCTATCTTGCAGTAACTAAAAATGGACAGATGGATGGATGCTGTGAGATACATGTGTAACAACAATCCTCAGGCTTTAATAAAAGAGCCAGGAGGTAAAGGCATGCTGAAAGGCTGCACTGGTCGGATCAATATATGCCCCTTGTCCGAACTAAATACTCCCAGACTGAAACTTCCAAGTGTGAACGGCACAGAAATCTCAAGGACTTATGTACAAATTTCCAAAACCCGGAGGATGCATAACTGAGCGAAAAGGTCTCGCAACACCCTGATGAATACCGAATGGTCTCCTCAACACCTTGCATGAGTGAAGAGCGTCGAGTGTGGCCGCACTGGCTCATTAACAGGTGTAAGATCTCACAGTGACGGATGGTGTCATCATACAGAATAACAACGCTTGAGCAGTAACGGATGTCCTGCGCTTTCCATCACTACCCAAACCAGACACAGGTTTATACATAATACAGGGGAAGTCAGCTTGGGGTGAGATGCGAGATCCCTACTTAACAGCATACATGTAGGTGCAGTTTGGGTGACTTTTAATCTAGTTATATATACATTTTCAGCAGAATGTTTTTACAACGACATTTCAAAGGATGACTGTGGATATAACAATGCAACACTGCTGGACCTACATGTAGGTGTGTACAAAATGTAAATGCAAAAGTACATTAGCTAACATTTCAAAACTGGCAAATAACCACCAGCTCATAACTACTGCTTTACAATCTTCAGCCTTCAGTGCCCTTATTTCCCCAAAGAAATGCCGCTCTCGTTTATACATCTGTCACATCTTTCTCTGGATTTGGAGATGCTTTACCTCTTTCTACATGCAGTCCTGATGTCAGTCCTTGAGGACGGCATATAGTTTGGGTGGGTCCTTCCTCTTGCTGGCCCAGCGGCCTCTGCCCCTAGGGCTTTCAGCGATGAAGCAGGCTCAGACCACAGTACCTAGCTCTATGCTGAGACCAACTTCAAGCCACTGGTACCAGCCCAGAGAGGAACGGTTCTGCCATCCGGTGCACATACACGTACATGTAATCCGCAGAAACTTGAGAAGGCCGTCTTTAATACTTTGGTGAGAACCTAAATCTGAGAAGGTTACGCTGCAGTGAAACACTGATGACATCATCTTGCCCACCGAGAGGGATACAGGAGAACAACGGGGACCCATCTTCATGTTCAATGGGCATAAAACAAGATTACCCATGTAATCACCCATGGCTCAACTGTCACACTCCACTTGTGGTGAGAAGAAATCCTCACAGCAAAAAAAAAAAAAAATAAATGAACAAATGAAATATGGGAGGGGGTTGCACACACACAAATGTATAGGACAGCTTCTCTCAGCCAGAATTAATTGATGGTTGGAATTAATTGATGGATGGCGCCAGGGTTGGCTCATCGTTTGGCACGCACCACGTCAAGATTAGAAGGCCCCGGCGACATGTTGACCGACTTGGCCAGACTTGATCAATAATTTTTTTCTTCAATTCTATGACAAGGAGTAAATGTGAGGGGGCACTAGAGAGCCTCTGAGATTTGTTTGGAGTAATCTCAAGATGTTGGTTCAAGAAATGTATGCGCACACCCTAGAGTAGTCGACGATGCGTGACAACTCCAAACACCGGGCGTGCATTTTTGCTCGGGCACTAATCAAGATCTGTGGTATGTGAGTTCTCCAGACTTGCAAGAATGACTACTAAGGATTGGCCGGGGTTGTATCTCATGACTGTTTATTGTGCCAACTTGTTTCTGACATCTCAAAACAGAGGACCGACCTGTAACTAGATATACACAAGTCTCTATTTCAACACTTGCAGCCGCTACCTGATGAGAGTAACACCTGCCTAATTTAAAACTTAAAGTAAAGTTTATTAAATTTTAAAACCTGGAAATTCACGATAACACTCTTATAGTGGCTATTACATCAAATTTAGTATGCGCTTGCCAGTTAGTTGGCTTCAGTACCTAGGTATGGTATGATCATCAGGCAGATGGCTGAACCGTT